ACCAGAAAGTCCTCTATTCCCACTCATTACATTTCAGAACATAAGGTAGCTCCACCTGGAAATAACAGTAATTATAATTATAATTTTATTTTAGTTTTTATTATGATCCAGTGTCTCTATGAGAATATCTACACACACACACACACACACACACACACACACACACACACACACACACACACACACACACACACCACATTAACCAGGAAATGATGGTAGGAGTTGTTGGTAATTAAGAGTGTCGTGATGTCTGCAGGGCGGTCGGCTGTATCCTGGCGGAGCTGCTCGCTCACAAACCTCTGCTGCCTGGAACCTCTGAGATCCAGCAGGTCGACCTGATTGTTCAGCTGCTGGGAACACCCAACGAAAACATCTGGCCTGTGAGACTGCAGCTCTGAATACATCCTCAGCATTAACGCACCCCTGTGTCTGATGATGATGATGATGATGATGATGATGATGATGAATAGACCAAACTTAATTTGTTTGTGTAAATGTGTGTGTGTGTCCCAGGGTTTCTCTCAGCTGCCCCTGATCGGTCAGTACAGCCTGAGGAAGCAGCCGTACAACAACCTGAAGAATAAGTTCACCTGGCTGTCTGACGCTGGTCACAGACTGCTCAACCTGCTCTTCATGTACAACCCACAGCGCAGGTACGGCCCCACGCTGGATGTATGTCTGTCTCTTTTCCTCTGACTCTCAATGTGTGAACAGCATTTCTATTTGCAGCTGATTACTAATTTAATCTCCGAAAATGTGAATCTTATTAACATTTCATTTATCCTGTAAAATAACTTCCAGTAAGAGTTTGTCCTGAATCATGAAGAAAACGGCAGGGAGCTTATTAAACAAGCTTATAATGAAAACAGGCTGAAATACTCCTACTACTACTTTCTTATGACAGCGTATTAGAGCCACATTGAGGGAAAAAAATATATGAGAAGCTTTAAAATGAGGAATGTAAGTTCTACTTTAGGTTTCACAAATAAGGAGAAACCTCTTCTTTTGGCTCATCAGCGTCAGCATCATGATCAGCATCATGATCAGCATCATGATCAGCATCATTATCAGCATCAGGACATTGAAAAGATACTGAGTCTGTTCTATTGTTAGACAGACAAACAGCAGCTGCCAGAAGCAGCTCAGACTGACACTGACTGTCCTTTCACCTGTTTGACTGGATGATGTAATATTCCTAAAAATTATGTTTTTTTTCTCTCGAAATTTTACATTTTTAATTCTTGTAATATTACAACTTTATTTTTGTAATTTTATATTTCTTTTTTTCTACATTGTTGCCGTAACACTATTTTCTTACACTACTTATAAGAAAACAAATCTTAAGAATTGAATTCACTGACTCAAATAATTTGATTTTCTCACTGATCAGTTTACCCCATTTTAGAGGCTGATATTTATTTTGTTTGATAGTTTTTTTTTGTTTTTTTTTTTGCAAAATATGCAAATGAACTAAGAACTAAAGCTGTGAAATAAAGGGAGTGTCGTAAAATAAATATTTTCCTTTGAAATATCGTGGAGTAGAGGTATAAAGTAACATACTGAAGAAATACTCAAAATTGTACTTGAGTAAATGTACTGAGTTACTTCCTCCCGCTGCTCATGATGAATTTTGTTATGTTATGTGACACAGAAATAAAGCTTAACTATATTTACACTTTTAAGACAGATTCTTCTGTCTGTAGCTCTTTCCCAAAACACCAGTGTGGCTCAGGGGTGAAGTTTTATCTTCCACACAGGACGTCAGTCTGAGAGTGCAGTGGTGAAGATCTGACCTCGCACTGTCTCACACTGTTACTATGAAATAACCCGGCTATTCCCCTAAAGTATAAATGATCTTCCATCCCTTTTCTCTCGAAGCCTTACTGAGTGGTGTTGCTATGGTTACTGCACAGTTGGAGATTGTTTCAACCCTGTAAATGATAAACACTTCACACCAACTTAACCAACCACATTCTCAGGTTGAGATCAGATAAAGTGTCCTTCAGTAACTCTGTTAGATCCAAAGTGCTGAAGGAAAAAAAGACGAGTGTGGATGTGCACGTACATGCACACGGCACAGATCACACTTCATACACATGGATACACATACACTTACATACCAGAGTTGACTTTGGTGTTATTGTGTATTATATCATTAGATGTAAACAATCAGTCAAGGGGAGATCAGCTCCATTTCGGAGGTTCACCTCTGCAGACACACATCGTCTCTCTCGTTTCTACAAGTGGTGAGTCATCGTTTGAGTGACGTCAAGCTGCTCCACTGAAGAACTCAGAGGGTTTTTCTACTGTCAGACTCTAAGATTTAGAGGAGGCTCGTCTTAATTCACCTTGTCCCACAGGCGTCAGCTTGACAGCTACGATTTATTTCTTCAACTCTTTAGGGAGAGTGCATTATTTTCCTGGGTCGCTTCTCTGGGCTTCAGCAGTATTGTTCTATTTATCAGGAAGTTGATTTAAACACAATGTTGTCACTTTCATGTTTCACAACTGCTGTTTTTTTTTACAATTTTATATATATTATACTTTTTAGTTTAATAGACAGTAGAATACACTTTAGATTTCATCAGGTGTCAGAAAGTACATGTCAGTACTGTGCACTTACTAGCTTTATCTGGACCAGAATATATGTTGAATAGTATTTTGGCAAAAGATTCTTTTTGGGGCATTTTAGCCTTTATTGTGATAGTCACAGTGAGAGAGAGAGACAGGAAAGTCAGGGAGAGAGAGAGGGGGGATGACATGCAGCAAAGGGCTGTGGGTCAGATTTGAACCCATGGCCACTGCTGTTAGGACTAAGCCTATGTGGTACACGCTTTACCAGGTGAACTACAAAAGTGCCCCCAGCAAAAGAATCCACAGTCCACAAAAGTCATTTGTTCAGTCAATTGACAGAAACTGGTATTTATTAAGCAAATATTCCAGATATTCACTGGTTAGAAATGTAAGGATTTGCTGCTTTTCTCTGTTTTAACTCATTGTAAATTTTATATCTTTGAATCAAAATAAGAAATTTTAATATGTGACCTGATAATGATTAATCAATTAATTGATAAAAATATCACTGTGGTAGTGGTAGTATTTTCATGGATGTGTTTTGTCCCTTTGTTCCCTGTGTACACAGCTGATTTTTTGACAGCTACAAATTATTTACTCAACTATTTAGGGAGAGTGTGTTATTTTCCTGGGTCGCTTCTCTGTGGGCCTCATTAGTATTGTTCTATTTATCAGGAAGTTGATTTAAACATAACGGCTGAGCCGTCAGTAACTGATTCTTTTCTGTTCTTCCTGATCCAGAGCTACTGCCAAAGATTGTTTGGAGAGTTCCTACTTCAAAGAGAAACCTCTACGTGAGTAAAAAAGATGTTGGGTGTGTATCAGCTGTGATCTCCCCTCATGGTTGTCATTAATTGTGTTTCTCTGCTCCTCTGTGCAGCCTGTGAACCGGAGCTGATGCCGACCTTCCCCCACCATCGCAACAAACGAGCTGCTCCTCTGGCAGAGAGCCACGCGAAGCGGAGCAAAGTGTGATCAGGACGGTGGTGAGGATGAGGATGAGGATGATGAGGATGAGGATGAGGATGAGGATGAGGATGAGGATGAGGATGAGATTCTCACTCAAAGGATGGGCACTGGTTTTGGTTTCCATGACATGCACTGGAAACATGGATTTGCTCTTAAGGATGTTAATGGATTTTCCTGTGGAACTTTGAGCAAATGAAAATGAATTCCAATCAGGTTCAGATTCAGATTAGATACACATCAGAGCAGGTCTGGTTACACGGGACCCTTAAGCGTTAAGTATGATGCAGTAATTAAACTATCTAACAAAGCTGTAACCGCACATTCTGCGGTGTAGATACAGTTGTCTGCAGCACGGTGAACTGCTTATAGGCACAGTATTAATCTCTTCTGTTAGCTTCCAGATTATCTCTTAAAATTCATTTTGCTGCCAATGTCTGTACACAATAGTTCAAAGTAATGAGGTTGCCTTGACAACTACACTGAGGCATTGAGTACTTGTACTGGTGTGGCGAACATCACCGTCTTTTCAGCTGTCCTGTGATCAGTTTCGATCCTCACATCAAAACAATAAAACTGTGAAAACGCATGACAAGTAGGAACTGAACCCACACGCTTGAGCTCTGCCCACAGTTACACTGCATCTGCATGGCAGGAGATCTAGAACCATCAGTGTGTGTCAAGGGGCAGCCCTGTGTCAAAGTGTCCTTGAGGTAAAGTACTGAAGCCCCGAATCTGCTCTCTTAGTGTTAGTTCCACATTTTGGGGAATATGCATATTCACTTATCCCCACACGTATTCTCATTGGATCAAAGAGGTTATTCGATATCTCGGGCCAGAGAAGATAAGATACTCTCCAAGGATCTGCTCTTGAGATTCTGTTCGGTTTTTCAGCCGTTCTTCACCGTAACCATAATCTTCATGTTTCTCCTCTTTGGCAAATATTCAGTGGTGCAGGTCTGGTGAGTGGGTGGATGGGTAGGCAGCCTGGGCAGATATTTGGGATAAGTCTGGGTAAAACGTGCCGTTTGTATTTTTTGGTTGACAAGCTTTCGAAATTCCCGCTTTTCCTGAAAGAAGCATAGTTGACTGGATGTGGGCGGAGCTGGACTGTGATGTACTGGATGCGGGCGGAGCTTGATCGGATCGTCCCGCCCACAGCCAATACTACTCGCTGGCATGCTGCATATTTACTGTACATATGTGAGAGTGCTGTTTGTGTATTTCCTAACATGAAATATTCCTTTAAGAGCCTCAGGTCGGATGCCTAAAGCGTACTGGAAATAAAGTGGCCTCATTAGGAATCAGTGTAACCTGGTAGAGGTGTGTGTTACGTTTCATACATGGCTGTGAATAAATAGAGAAGATACTGAAACAGAGCCCCTAAGTGTATTTAAACCAATAAACATAAGAAAAATGTCAAACCAACAACTGCCTTTTTTTTCATTTGAAATGTCACTTTTTATTAATTCAGGTTAAATTAGTAGTATTGGTTACATGGCCAGTCGGAGATTAGGTCCCCTTACAGGACTGTTAATAATGACCTCCCACTGAACCAGTATGTACCTCAACAAACACACAGCGATACTAGCACTGAGCTATCACAAGCCATTACTGAGTCAGCCAGACAAGCCTGTAGTCCTGATGTGACAGTGAGAGGTCAGAGAGTTGGTGCACGATAAACATCCAATAGCAGTTTGATTTAAAAGATTATTTAAAACTGAGTGAGCCAGCTCTCCTTTCTGTCTGTTAGTTGACAACAGGACAAACACTGTTGAAGCTTGAGAAGGAAAACACATGGTAATGAAACAATATGGTAGTGTCGGCCTCAGAGAGGAACTGTGTATTTACCTCCCAAAACAAAAAAAAAAACAAGACTTTCATTAGAGCTCCATCATGAAAACCCAATGAAAGAAACACTTCAAGTGTAAACAGACTGTATCTATTAGTCAAGTTACATGTCAGGTGTGACCAAACAGGTAGTATAAATAGTGGCAAAACAAAACAACAAAAAGTGTCCATGTTGAAAGAGATGAGAGATTCAAGCCTTGATGAAGAGACTGCTAGTACGGCTCACATTCAAAACAGACAGGTGCATTCTGGGAAATGAAGTGCAGAAAGAAATTCATTTGAGCTCATTTAAAAAAGCAGAGATCATCCTTGCCACTGGAAATAGCAGTCGAGAAAAGAACCTCACCACTTGGTCTATTTAGTGACTGTTCTGGAGCTTTCAGATGCACATGTTCAACTTCTTGTTTGAGCGCTTTAAGACTTCTCGTCCATTTTGATGATGTGATCTGATCAAAAGCTCTAGAAGTTACCAAAAAGACGTTGTCATGAGGTTTTCTGTTTTTTTCTGACTGTTGTTTCCAAGATCAAGAATGAAATTTGAACCAATATGGACGAGAGGACAGCACAAGATCCTGTGATGATTTAAAGCTCCAAAACGGCTACTAAATGGACATGGAGGTGAGACTGTCATCTTAAAGGTTTTTGGATTGAATAAATATGATGTCTGGCTTTCAGTCAAGCACATCTCTTGTGTTGCAAATACTGAAGATGAATGCTAAGCTTAAACAGCTGCTAGCACAGAGGTACAGGCCTGATAAAGACACAGAGCTGTAGAGGGACATGGAGGCAGTGATCATCAATTAATTTACCTCTTCATCAAATAACAAAATAACAGGGCTCTCAACATACAGACAAACACATTAAGACACACAAGTTTAATAAAAACACTGAGATGCGTTCACACACTCGCATGCCTGGCAGGAGAACTAACTTCTTTTGTTTCTTCTTAGAACGTCACTGTCCTTCATGGCGGATCCAAAGCAAAGTGCACAACGGCAACAGAATGTACAGTCCTTCAGTCAGAGATAGAATCGGCTCAGTAAGGGACAAACTTGATGCATTTAGACTCAAATGCAGATTTCCTTGCTTCGATGCAGGCTAGATGAAAAGTTCTTTGAATGCGCTGTAGCGGTGGCTTTGTAACGGAACATTGTCTTCAATGGGGGGGAAAGACAGGGGCTCTCTTGTCCAGCTATCAACTCACACCAAGATTTTCTATTGTTGCATTTGGTCAATGTCCTCCAAGGATTCAAAAACACTGGACTGGATGATTACAAGTAAGAAATACAGAATTTCTTGTCCTTTTTTTTTTTTTTTTTTTTTTTTTGTTCAACCAGACCAGTCGTTTATTTGAAATCCATGAGAGGCAGAGAACCAAGCACTCGGCTGAGAGGTGAAGGGATGGTACAGCAGTAGCGGGGGAGACAAGTTGATGGGAGCAGTTTGACCCTTCTGTTGGACTCGGGGAGAGGTGTGGCAGGGGGTGGGGCGGAGCTCATTTCTCAGCCCTCCATCCCAAAGTCCTCTGTGAACTTCTTGACCTTCAGCAGGTCTTCAGTGTTGACTGTGGGACGGGTGGTGGACAGAGAGCGCAGCATGTCCGCAAAGAAAGCAAAGACACAAATCATTTTTTATCACTGATCTCCATTCTGAATTCTGTTTTTGTGGATCGTGTTATAATATAAACATGATCCATTATATCTGAGGAAATCTGATTTACAAAATCACTCACACCTGTTTCCGTCCCAGCTGGGGAACCCTCCCTCTCTCCCCTTTATCCAATCATTTGTTTTCCTGAAGCTGTTTTATTCACACTGGTAAACTGTCTGTAGCTTCCTCAGCTTCAGCAGCACAAACAGCTTTGTCTTTAACTGTTATACTATGTTGATTTATTCTCTCAACAATTTATCTCCTGACAGAAGAACACAAATCTGTTCCCTTCTTCTAAACTACTTAACATGTTGAAAATGTAGATTACGCAACTAAAATAGAATGTACAGTAAATCCCACACTTACATCATTTCTTTTGCCTGTGCGTTTACATATCTTTTACCAATAATCTAATTTCTCCACACTAATCAATTGTGTGGTTTTACCTCATGAATATTTATCAGCAAACAATCTACTCTTGATCTATTAATGTTATTTCAAACTACAGTGCACCTTTAACATAGGACGTGATTCTATGGATGCAGTAAAACCTAAACCAGGGTCGGGTTTCACAGACAGACTGTGACTGTGTCTTAGATTTAACATTCAGACTTCAGAATCTAAATTCATCTGTTGCACAAAGCAGTTTAGTTCTTGACTATCTCAAACTGGACTGTGGTACTATGAATTCTGGGTAAATTAAGATTTTAAAATAAAAAAAATGGCCGACCAAGGAACTGCATACAATTGCTTAGCCCTGTTTACCTCAGTAGAAAATGTTTTGTCTTTTGGACAAATTGTCATTTGGAAGAATTCAACAGTTACAAGGACGTTTTACTTTGAGTAAAATAAAAATCTGATTTGGTTTCTAAAAACTCTTTCTCTTCTCTTTGCTCTCTCCACAACAATGTCAACATTGGTCTTAGACCTGAGTTAGCCTGGGACTGTCTAATGTTTTTATCTTAAAATGAGTCAGTCTTTATTTGAGTGAAACAGTCTGACAAACATCAGACTGATCTGTGAGCAACATGAAGACTGGAGCAACACTACAGACCAGTCTGACACAGCTTGGTGAAACTGCTCCTGGTATTGTGGCATATTAATATAATATATTAATCCAATTCAGTTCAAAACACTTTGTTTGTCCCTCAATTTAAGTCAAGTGTTTACAAACAAATGCCTCAAAGACAATTAATTTACACACATAGAGACAATGTAAAACTGCAAATATTAGTGAGATGTTAAATAGACCAGGATTTACAACAGTGTACATGAGTCTAATGGCTGCAGGAAATCTAAAACACATTCCTGATGACATGAGCTTAAAATCGTCATAGAGAACATATGTGGGACTGTTGATAATATCATCTGACTCGCTGAGGACTTGTCCAGTTTTAAGCTGTGCTAGGGATCTTTGTGTTTTGCAAACAATCTTAGGTTAACAACAGTTGTTGACGGCACCTTGCAATCACTTCTTATCCTTTTGACAAAGGGAACTGAAAAACTTTCAACAAAAATCATCATCAATATTCTCTCATCTATGTCTGCAGTATTAACACTGCTGAGCCTGTTTCATAATCACATCTGCATCTGTCATCAAACACACCCACAGATTCCTCGCTACAGTCGTAGCATCAGGTTTACAGACGGGATGTTCTGTTCAGGTGTGTCTTGTTGTTACGGAGGCAGCGGATGAATGCGTGTCTGAAGACCACTCACCATGCAGACTATGGGCTCCAGTAGCTTATCACTAGGCACATCCATCCAGGTCATCTCTATGGCTGCAGGGTCGCCAGGGGAACAAGGAGTCAAGAGGTCGTCGACCATCACCTGGTTGTTGCTTCTGGATGGGCCGCGAACCTGCAGGAGTAGCAACAAGAAAAAAAAAGCACAACACTAATGCAAAATGTAAAAACTGTAAAAATCTGACATGAAGTTTTGCAAATTTAACATGAGCTCACCTTTTTGAAGTGCGTGGCAGACTGGACCTTCCTGACCGGCTGCATGAGCGCGTCCCGGACGATGATGCTGATGTCGGCTCCAGAGTAGCCGTCTGTTTTGCGGGCGAGCTGCCGCAGGTCAGCCTCGCTCAGGCTGTGTGGCGTGTTGCCCAGATGAAGACGAAACATCTGAGACCGAGCTGGCTCCTCCGGCAGAGGGATGTAGATACGCTTCTCAAATCTGTCCACGTGACAGAGGACAAGTTCCAATCAATTGCACGTTCATCAGCTGTTCAAGTCACAGATAACATCAACAGTGTGCAGGTTTCTGATGTGTTGAAGACTTTACAGCTTTAGCTTGTGAAAACTGACTGCAGCTGAATTTCAGACTATACAGAGATATCTGTTTGTATCTGAACATAACAGTTGTTTACAGGCAGAAACAATGACAGGGACACCCACGTTCGCCTGATTGGGTCTCATCAGCCTTGAATACCAGTGGTGAATACAACATGGATAATGAGTTACCAGCGTTACTGACCTTGTTGGCTTTGCTAGCAGCTGTTGTGCAGGTAAATTCTGCATTTTAATGTTACTGTCTTTGCTGTTCCTTGTTCGTAAGTGTTCTCAGCAACTAACCAGCTGCAGAGTAGACAATAGTCATGTGATATGTGTTTTCAGGTGTGTTAGTGTGGACAGAGATTATTTCTGATACGGAGTTAAAATGCTCGTCTGGACGGATTGATTTGATTTTGTTTGTGTGGACGAGCCCAACTTCATTGTTGTCTTGGCAACAAAGAAATTGTTGTGTTAAAAGAGTTCAGTTGCTTTTTGTTACACCTCTCCAGTTCTATTTGTCAATAACTTGTGGTCCTTTTGCATTTGAGAGGAAAATGGTTTAAAGTAACAATGTGAAGACGTAAGATTCATCACAGGCATTTAAAACAACTCTTATTTAACAAAGATCCTGTTCCAGTTGCCCTGAATCATAATGTACACGTACAGGGAAATGTTTCCTTTAACTGACCAAGATGAATGTAACTCTCCTATGTTATAAAATGAAGAGTTATTATTTGAATGACCCCCCAAAAAACCCTGTAAAACAAACTAAGAGTGAGACTAATCTGAGTACTGTAGTGACTTCTGACCTTCTGCGAATGGCAGCATCTAGCACCCAGGGGATGTTGGTGGCTCCCAGCACCAAGATACCATCATTGTTGTTTCCCACACCTACAAAACCAGAGAGCTTCAGTCAACATGAGCACTTCCTGATTCCCTCGGTGTCCACGCAGGGGATTTTCATATTTCAGATGAATTCTCTATTGTCACTTATACAGTATATAATAATATATGATTTGATACTGCAGAGTCTTCACTGTGCATTATTATTGTACGTCAGTCTGATCGTTCTCTTTCCTCATCTCATCTTTGGCTCACCCTGCATCTGGACCAGGAACTCTGTCTTTATGCGACGGGCAGCCTCGC